CTGTGGGATATGAGGGGGCCGCTGCCGTTGTCAACTCGAAGGGGTTTTATGTTTAGAAATGTTGGGGGGGGGGGGGGAGGGGAAATGGGAAGGGAACGTGGGGAGGGGAGAGGGAGAGGGAGGAAAGGGAGAGGGAGGAGAGAATGGGGAAGGGGAGAGGACGAGAGGGGAAGGAGGAAAAGAGGGAGAGCGAGGGAGGAGAGAGAGGAGAGGACGAAGGATAGAAGATAAAGAGAAAGAGAAAGGGAAAAGGTGAAGGAGGAAAGGGAGAAGAGAAGGAGAGGGAAAGGAGAGAAAGAAGCAGATATTCAAACAAACAGAGGGGCACGCATCCACATACAGCCAGACAAACGCAAACCCAGAGACAAAGAGAGGGGTGGGGGGCGATGGTGATATATGGGCACATAAATATTCTTTACGCTCAATAGCTGCATGTACCCACCATATACTTGTATCCGTGTGTTCATATAAGTGTACTTATCTATGTCCGCGTTTGACTACACCAGCCTCTGTCTCTATATTAAAACAAAGATAAATCTATAAAATAAAACAAAACAAAAACATAAGAAAAAATTAAACAAAACAACAACAAAAACAAAAATATATAAACCATAACAAACAAACATAAAAGAACAAAAAAGTACCATAAGTACCTATCACCCTTCCCTTCCGCCTGAATGAAGTATCTACATTACAATTGCACACTCGACAACACACAAACATTCCGCATGACTTCCACGCACTCGGCCGTGTGACGTTGCTCGAGCCGATCATAAACAGGCTTCTGCTCTACGCCACCTCTGGAGGATTGGCTGGCCTCCGTCCTCCTCGTCTCTCCTTGGTCTTTCTCTTGCTTTCTTTCTTTCTTGAGAGAGAGAGAGGGGGGGGGGGGGAAGGGACTATTTCTTTCGTCCCGTTTGTTTATGTTCGTTTGTTTATATTTTCGTTCTCTTGCGTTTTATCAGGGTCTGTATCTGTTTCTCTCTCTCTGTCTATCCTTCTCTCCCTCTTTCCCACCCTCCCACCTCTCTCTCTCCTTCTCTCCCCCCCTCCCTGTCTCCTCTCCTTCTCTCCCTCCCTCCTTCCTTCCCTTCCACATTCTCTCCTTCCTTCCTTCTCTCCCTGTAAAGGCTATTAATTGGCGCCTTGACATTGATTGCAGGAGTAGTAATAGGAGACGATTGCTTTGGCTCTTGATTTTCAAAGAGTACAACAACACAGAGATAAACACACTAGAAAATCTTGGGAAAAGCGCGGAGAGCGGGAAAGTCAGGCGATCAGCCCAGCGGGGCGGAAGTGACCGCCTGAAGCCCTAGGCCCAAGGAACGTATCTTGACCCGACAAGCGCTGGCGACTAACTCTGACCGGGTCATCCTCGGCCTTAAATACGCGCGGGGGGACGCCAGAGACAAAGAAGGCACATTAAATTTATTCTAGTTTCAATGTGACAATCAGAGGCAAAGATATCTTTGCAATTTCAGATGTTTTCCCTAAAAATAGAATCCAATCACCTTATTTCCGAAACATAGCATGGATTTAGAAGTATGCTCTCCACTGAAATAGTCTTCTTAAAAATCACAAACACAATTTATGATAACATGCACAAGAATCAAATAAATCTACTCACATTATCTGATATGTCAAAAGCTTTTGTCAGTGTCAGTCATGAAATCCTGCTTAACAAAATGAAAAATCATGGAATTGACAACTATTGGTTCAGAAGTTATCTAACCGGAAGGACACAGTCAGTCAGTCAGCCAGAATTTGTAATATGTCAACTAAAAAAACAATCTCTTTCAGTGTCCAACAAGGCTCCATGATAGGCCTGATGTTGTTCACTATATTCATTAACGACCTATCAACCATTACAAACAACTGTCTCCTTGTGACTCTTACAGAAGCAACAATGTATTTTGACAACAACGGTCTCAAACTAAATCCTGATAAAACCCAATGCATCTTTATAGGCAAAAATCTCCATAAACACAGTCATAGATTTTGAAGGCTGTCATGTTAAACCAATCATTTCCGTGAAAAATCCAGGAGTACACATAGACAGATACATGACTTTCGAAACACACATGGACAACACTAACAAAAAAGTGATGGGCACAATGATATACCTAAATCCCCACTGAGACGAGAATTATTGTTGTACAAACCCTCCCACTTAACGCTATAAACTACATACGGGACCCAACCAACAAAATTCAAATACAAAAAGCACAAAAACTATAAAACTTTGCCACTTTAATGCCCCCATTAAAAATAAATATATAATGGTTAAAAGTTCAACAAAAATGTCAATTTGATACATGTACACTCATTCATAAATTCATAAAGGCTTACTATCCTCATTGGTTAATAGTTCAAATAATTTGTAACAAACAGCCATTCAATCAAGACATATTAACTCTCTGCACGTCAAAAGGTCATAAACGGAAACAAGGTCAATGCAAAATCCAAATCAGACGACCCGAGTTCTGGAACAACCTACCAC